GGGAAAAGTTTTTCCAAGACTTTAGATCATCAAGAGAAAGCCTTTTTACTTCACAAACTGACAAGGGCCCTAATGGTGGCTTCAAGGGTTTAGGATCAAATCAAAATAGACGTCTGCAGTATTAAGACAGATAAGATAAATCACTCAATCTGATTTGGAAAACGAAGAAAATAAAACCAACACACACCTCTTGAAAAGTACTCTCTGGCAAGGTTTGATAAAGTTCACCTTCAGAAAACACTGTGTGGCCTAAATAACTCTTGAACAAGGGGTTAGCCAGAAACTTGACGTTCTTAGGTTATATGGGATTTCCTGGAGGCTGTCTTTTGTCTGAAAATAGGTAGAAGCTGAAGTTATTACAATATGAGTTCCATTCATGTGCCCTCATTGCAAGGAGTTCCAGTGTGTTGCGATCAGAGAAAAGGAGACCCAACAGATTCCCAAACCAGCTCCATTCATTAATTTTAAATAGACACTATAGTTTCCTGACTAGGCTTGTAACCCAAATCCATTGTGCTAAGAAAACTGTTAAACCCCAGGACTGTCAGAACAGTTTGATGTCCACTGTTACAATTCAAAGCTTAAGTCACCAGCACCAAAACAGCTCCGCTTCTCCTACTCTTTCACAATCAGCAACTGAGCGGTTCCAAGTTTTTACTCAGGCTCTATCAGCCTAACAGAGATCCTGAACTTTCAACAATTGTGTAAATGAAGCTTCACTGAATGATAATTGAGTGCTAACTGATCTTTACAAGTACACTCCAGTTTCCTCTTCTTAGTGACCACTACAGAGAAGTCTTTACTCTTGGCAGTGACTGCCACGGGTCTACTAATAAAGGAGATGACAAAATAAGCACAACTAGCACAAGGAACACCCATCACAAGCTATCAATGCTGGAACCTGACATTACCCCAGTGGGAACTGTTAATGGAATCCAAGGAAGGATGCTTGCACCTCAGACACAACTGTATAGCACACAGTTTCAGGAAATTATTTTTGCTTTTAACCTGGCCACATACTCAAGCAAGGAGGAGGTAAACTTCTATACTATACATCTATCCACCTTTCTAAATATACAGCTTTCATTACTCTATAACCTGCCTTTATCAGGTTCTTATTTTCTTGAATATTTCCATGCATACAGTCTCTCTTATGAGTACACTCATACAAGGGTTTATATGCAACATCTCTACCTGTACTGTTTTTAAGGACAAATTCTAACTTTTTCACTGTGAGACTAAATTTGCATTAAGTCATTGAGTCATTACCTTTGATGCAAGATATGAAAACACTACTGCACTTATTTTACTTAACCCAAAGAAATTACCACTACATTTCCTTAGAAACAGTGCTCACTAAAGACTAGTAAAAGTTTCAGAAGCCATGATAAGTTTGTACCTTTCGCTATTCATTTTTCTTGTTGTTCAAACAAACCTCAATCATTTTAAGTAAAGTTACATGTACTTTGAGTAAGCTATAAAAATCATTCTACCAGGGTGAAAAATTTAAAATATTCCAGAGTGTACATGCAGGTGTTTCTGTTGGATATTTCAGCAATCCCTCCATAAAGTCCCTTTTCTGCACCACTTCCTTTAATTCTTTTTGCATTTGATCATGTCACACTCAGAAATCAACAGGAAAACTCTTCCAGCTGTTTTTATAAGTCTCCAGTGATTTAAGCTTACCAAGACAAGGTGGAAAACAGAACTCAGAGTTCTGAGCATTACACTGCATGAAGTCAGGTTTGACGCTTATACTGAACATTCACTCGAAAACAAACCCAAGCAATGTAGATGCATCTCACATCTATGAACTTCCCTCTGCCGCCTGAAAAGTGAGTCTGTGGCACCCTCTGGTGTCTGACTACCGCACATTTGCTTCTGCATCCATCTTTATTTACTCCATTTTATACAGGAGTAAAAGGGAACAGTAGAAACGCACATTTAACCCAAACCTCTACGTTCCATCACTGACAACTACATGGGCCAGAACAATTGCAGCAAACCAGGAACCACCAGCATTCACCACTACCACAGGGCAGGAGAAGCAGCTGCCCAGATGTGCTCCATTCTGCTGTCTCACCCCTGTTTGCCTGCTAGTTGAGATTGTTAGCACATTCCAGACAAAATACACAAGTTGTAGTTGCATGTGCTTTGGAGAACAACTTTATTAAACAGAATGGAGTAAAACAAGTATTTGAAGATGAAATACGTGACTTATTTTTTTCCAGGGTGCTCTAGCATATACTTTACATAAATGTGTAGATCAAAATTACAAAAATCTTGATGCTTTTAAAACAGACTGCCTCTTAACATGCCATGGTGCAATGTCCATGCTTAGCTGAAATAGTATCTGGAAGGTTAGAATGCTTTGTGTTTTGTTGGGGGGTTTTTTGTTTGTTGGTTTGGGGGGCAGGAAATCACCACTTTTTCTACTGCTCATCTTAAGCAAACTAAATCAGCCCATTAAAGAGTAGACAAGGTCAAATTGCATCTAAGTAAGTATAGCTTAGTGAGTATTACATTCCCAAATCCTAACCTAACCTAGTCACACAGTGGCAGAGGGTGTCAGGCTTGATGACATATTGCAATGAGAGTGCACAGAAAGAGCACTCTCATTAGAGTGTCACATGTACAATCACATCGATTAAAAGACACACTCTCTAACCATAACAAATATCATCACAAAACCTGAAAGCAGGCCATGGTGCCTCTCTCTGCCTCACACATGATCAGCTGTTGATGGACTATAGGTCACAAAGAATAGCTATACTGGGAATACTGGATGTCAGGACAGAAGAGAGCAAACCACTTCACAGCTTACTGGGAAACAGCTACTGCCCTGTTAACGCTATCTGATGAGAGAGAGAGAACACAAACACTTGACTGAGGGAAGCCAAGAGTTCAGGTACACACTGCCCACATTCAGATATATGAAGATTGTAATATGTAGATTTTAAAGTCATAAAGTTTGATTACAGCAGTGCATAGAACAAGTAGCAGGAATGTACGCAAAGACAAATTCTTCAGAGATAAGGTGTTATTAGAAAAATTTAAGGTGAGTTAGAAATTTCCCATCTAAATTTTCGTGGACTTATGCTACCTTGAAAATCAGATTCCAAAAACAAGAACAGAACTCTATCTTGGATCACACTGTAAAAGCAGAGTTTTTCCTACACTAAGAATTTAACAATTCAGGGAAGAAACTTCAAGAATTCAGCCTTTTTCTTCTAAGACAGCTAATATATTCCAATAGGAAGATCACAAAAAAAAAATTCTTTTTTTTGGTACAAATTTGTTTGTTGCTTTGTTTTTAATTGTGATACTTATTAAGTAATTTTTTTTAACATCACTACTCAAAATTATGTCCCACATTAATTCTGAAGTTATTTTATAAGACCTTGAAGCAGCTAAAAGAACTACTGCTCTAATATGAGCTTTTCATTTCAACTTCTGGCTACTACTGTCTTAAGTGTTTGCTGTCTACTGTATGTTACTATAAACAACTATATCAGTGCACACAATGCTGTAGCTTTCAAGAGATGAGAAGTCAACTGGTCAACAAGACGAAGGTGTCATCATGCCTTCTTTTTTTCCCCTTAAAACTTGCCTTAAAGTCACAAGACCAATAATGCTTATGGCAGTCTGTACCTTTGATCCAGCATTACGTTTCAGAGCTACAAAAAAATAATTTCTGCTTTTGAAAAGTTAATCAGTTACCAGAACTAAAAGCTTTAAGCACTCCTGTAATCTAAAGGCCTAGAGAATATGCCAGAAGTCATAATTAGAGATGTAGTCAAAGACTTTCACCTCTACATACAGAAACAAGCTTGTAAGAGGAGCTAATAAAAGATTCTGAAATACAGCAGAGAGCTTTAGGAAAGTTACCAGCCAGTCCAAGAAACACTTCGATGCTATCCAGTTGTTTGCAAAAAGCAGAGGTTACACCTACTTTAATGCTACTTAGAGATTTTAATACAAGGTAACTAGATTAGCAATTGTATTCATAGGATGGAAATCAATATGCTTCCTCTACAAGAGAAAAACTGACACATACTGATGCACGCTGTATACATAACTACACTTGTTGGATTTTCATCATGCTATCACCTCATCAGGACAGTTTTCTTACATTAAGAATAATTAACATCTGCTACGAGGTAAAAATTTTCAGGTTCTCCCTTGCCAGTTAGTATCACAAAATGAAAAACACATATCAGAAAAAAGTTTCTAAAGAAAGTTGCTTTTATTTGGGCTCCATTCCCACCTCTATATTTGCTGTGTGTTCCTTCTGTTCCTTCGTATTGTTATAACTTCTGATAATGTTTATTTTTACCTGAAGGATGTTGCTCCATTCTCTTTCATTTTTGCCTTCTGAACAGGAGATGCTTGAAGCGACAGAATTTTATTTCCTGGCAGGGTAATTTGTTTCAGAATGGAACCTAAAACAAAACAAAGAACATGCTATAGTACAAAGTAAAATGCTAAGACAACTGTTTAATCAGTTCTTTTTTCCAGCAAAGGCTACTGCAGATTCAAGAACAACTAACTAGGTCCACTTGAAAACTAGACACTCTAGAATCCTACATTCCACATGTTCTGTGTAGACAAAAACTTTACATGCTTTCAAACACCCTCCTCTGTACTGACAAGTGAAACGCTTTAGCGAAAACTGGTTGGCTGAGACAAACTCGTATTATGCATCAACCTGAACCTGTTGAAGGAAAAAACAAGGTCTCATGAAATGACTCTCAGAAGCATCACAGTTTAAAGAAAGTTCACTGCAAAGAGCTCAGTCACCGTATTTTACCAAGTACAAATGTTTGATTGATATGCTTTTAACAAGTGCCAGAAGTAGATGTGGCACTCACCAGAACTCCAAGAAGACAGTAAAGAAGTTCAACTCAAAGTGGTTGCTCCCAACAGACAGCCACTTTCCTACCTTCCTACAGTCTACCAACAGCCTGCATTTACTTCTGTACCTCAGCATTCCTCTCCCTTTACCTGCAGGAAACTGGTTGGTTTGAACAAGTGTATTCAGCGGCATCTTCTTGTCAGCAGACGTCTGTAGGGTGAGCACTGAGGGTTGTGGGAGTGTGGATACTTGCTTTACAATAGTTCCTGATGGTTGTTGGACTACCTGGAAGTGGAATATCCAATATCAAGAGTGAGAAGAGCTAAAAATACACAGAAGTAAACAGTACCAATGTTTCCACTTAGCCAGAATTGCCACTGGGCAGGCGTGCTTGTCTAGTTCTCAGTTTAAAACAAACATCATGCTCAGAAAAACCTCATATTTTTTTTTTTACTTCATGTCAAGAAATCTTAACAAGTGGTGGTGAGCTTTAAGCTCCAGCTCTTTCAGAATGTGATGCTGATTCTGAGTAACAGACACTTCACCCCTAGTCTCTATTGATAACTCTATTAGACATGTTTCGCTAAGTATCACACAATCCACTACACTGAGAGGCTTTTCTCTACATCTTGCTTAACAGAGTAACTACTGAATATTGAGACTGCCTACCAATAATTTCAAAAGGGTAGGTATCTCATACACCTAGTTAAAAAGAGAGAACACCAAAACAATTGAAAGTTTTGCATGAAATTATTTTCCTGTTAAGAATTAAGAGTACACATTATAAAAATACTACTGGATTTTTGGAACAGTAACATCAATTGTAAATTGAGATGCTGAGTTTCAAAGTGTTAAGCTAAAGTACACTGAGCACATCAGTTACCAGGAACATGAAGTACTAAATAGAAACACCTAGAGTGAGCAGAGCCTCTAAAGACAGACAACAGTACACAGCTGAAGGGTAAAAAGGAAGACGGTTCACAGTTTTGTTTAAAGGGACTCTTCAAGGAAACAAAACCAGACAACAGGATGTCATCACAACACAGACCTAGAGGCACAGCCCATAAATACTAATCCTTCCTTTTCAGGGGCAGCTATTAAAATGCAAGAAAGTAATAAAATTGCAGCATCTCTAAAAACCTCACTTCTAAGCCTCCTAGATAACAGAATGTGGGCTGCAGCTTCGATACAACCTTTGGAAAAGTTCTTGATTACAGGTAGTAGAAAGATGTGATTTTACCTGGGTTTTTTTGCAGCAAAAACCTAACATTAAGAAAATGTCAGGGTCAAGATCAAGAAGCCATTTTTCTCCTCTACATCTTTTATTCTAACTTCAGAAAGTCTAAAGAGCGTTTGTACAGCAAGACTGCATACGGATAATTAAAGAATTGACATTTACAATACTTCAGACATTAGGCTGTTTCCTTCTGTCACCTCTCTTCTGATGTATCGATAAATATAATCAGCATAAACATCATACATTCACAAAAAGAGGTACTTTGTGTATCAAAGAATCAAGATACTACCCATCCACCTCCATATAAAACAGCATTAAAGTTTGGCATAGCAGCAGTAACACAAAATAATGAGCTGAAGGTGGCATCTGAGAACCAGACAACCAGGTCTTGAGAAGAAACGTAAGATCCAGAGGACGAAAGAACTACAGAAGTGCAGGGACAGACTGCAGACAAAGCCAAGGCTTACACATACAATACTTCCTCACGGTGTAGAAGTTTACTTCCACGTGTTTTTCCCAAAGCTCAATTTGATCTTTCTGAAAGATGCAGCTTCCACAAGATGGAAGTTGTGAATAACACTAATAGCGTCATTCGTGTGTTCGGATAATTCATGAGCAACCAACCACCTTGGCCAAACTACTCGCAAGCTCCACTAGCACCCACACTAACACACACCTAGAGATCCTCCTTACCACCAATAAGAATGATGCTTCAACTTCAGCATGCAAAATACTTAAACAGCACAGGAGGAAACATAAGCATTCCAGACTGATGTATAGCAGACAAAAGAACAGAGGGAGGCAATGTTACACCAATGGTCTGGGTGGAGACTGGGAAATAAGTCAAGTAACCGAGGAGACTACATCACTGAAAAGCAGAAACTATGTGTTGGCAGTAGAGCCCATTTTCTGTTTGCCATTCTAGCTGCTAGACTAACAAACGCTGGAAGTCCTTGGGACTTGCAACAGGAGAGAGCAACAATCTTGGACACTTCAACAAGGACCTAATGCCAGAAGGAAGCATTACAAAAATAGGTAGTATCTGTGCAAAGGAATTATTGTCTCTTTTCTTTGGGTTAGCAGCAAGAAATAATAAATAAAAGGGACTGTTCCTTTGTGCCCTGTTAAGTAGGTTGACACAGACATGAGAATAAAATCACCAACATTCTTGAGTAAAAAAACTGCAGTGCAACGTTCAACTGACAGCAGAGAGACAGCTGCTTGAGAGAGACTTTGATTAGCCTCACCTGAACCTCTTTTACATTCATAAAGCAAAGTCTGGAGATCAGCAGAGAGATGCTGAGGTCTCATCACACACAAACAGTATTGTTTCGTGAAGGAAGCCTCACCAGTTGAATGCAAAAGCATAAATCCTGGACAAAAAAAAAACTCCTGAAAAATAATGGAGGAGACTGTTCACAAAAGCTCAGCTTGGAGGGGACTTGACACTAACAGCTCACTAGGAACAAGTAGTTGGAACAGCATAAGCACTTCACGCCTTGCTTCAGCCGTTAGTGATGTCCATGGAGTGTGTCTCACTGGTAACTGTGGGGATTACACCACAGACCCCTTGCTGTTTATGCCTGACATGAAGTTTTAGTCTCACAGCAGCTTTTTCATCATTGGAGGCCAGCAGCTGGTAATGTAAATTTTCATTTATTGTGCTTTGAAAGAGACAAAGCAATACTGCAGCAAGACAAGCTTTATTTCCAAGATGAAATTTCTTTGTAAGCCAATGCCTTTAAATGAGGTGGTGTTAAGAAAGTCACAGGAGGGAACCCTTCCAAATGTGCAACTCTTACAGTCCAGGAGTGTGATCAACTCCAACAGCACCCCTGAAGAACAGGTCCCTCGGGGTCCACCATACAAACCCAGCGTTCCAATAATCATGCCACAGAAATTAAAGTTTCATGTTGCATCACTCCAGTCACACATTTGATATTAAAATACTGCAGAGCTGCATTCTTAAGCACCACCAACATTACAATGGAGTTGGCACATGGAAGTTTGCTTTAAATTCCCGCAAGCACAAGAGGCCAAAATTAGAAAGGGGCATGCAGAGGGAGTGTATGGCATTAGACATCCCTATGGGCTGAAAATGGAAAGAAATTGCTGGCAGCATTGTATGGACAGATTTGCACAGCTGGCAATGTGCTTCTTTTTTCAGCTGGCAGTAGGACCCTTCTGTTTAGGGAGGGGAGGTCCAGATTTGTTTTCTTGTGGGAGGAAACAGACCCTCTGGCCTTTCAAGGAAAGGCATCGAGGAAGCCCTAGGAGATGCAGCCTCTTCTACTAATTTTCTCTTTGTTCTAATAGGTCGTGTAAATGAACACTAAGCTCCTGATATGGCTAAGCTGTGAAGTAGTCAACTCAGTCCAACTATATCCAAGACCAAAATTTAATAGGTATTTAGCAGACCAAGTATTTTAATCGCTGTGCCTGGGATCTACTCAAATGAGGATAAAAACATGTTTTCTATGCAATTCAATATATGTAGGGCACAGCGAAGAAAAGCAATTGCAACAGGCTGCCACACTGCAGCAGTGTAGGAGGCAGAAACCATTTCTTGAGTTCACCAATATCATATTCAAGAAGTGTTTCGACTCCCCCGTGCAGAGTTAAGCTTCCTCGCCTATTTGCACAGATGGCCAACCTTTCCCCTGGATTACATGGCTTGCTGTGTAGCCAACTAACTGCTCTCCAGCCCTCGTACAACCTAAGAAACCCTCCTTTTCTTCTGGCTGGAATTTAAAACTTAGTCCTCAAAGACAATATGGGTAACAAGTCCTTTTCCAATTTGGCTTTAGCTACCACCAGCAAAGACTGTCAGTGCATATGCTTGATAATGCTTCTTTGCAGTTTTAGGGTGGGGGGTTTTTTGCATTTTTGTTTTTTAAACAAATCCACTCATAAAAAGGACTGCTCATCCCCTCCATACAGTTGGGTGCTTTGTTTTTTTAAGCAAGTGTGGAAAGGTGAAGAGCTGGCAGCATAAACTCTTTATTTGGAATGTAGGATTCTTCTACTACATCTACCTTATAATCTTTGAAAAGAAGAAAATTAAAAAAGCAAAACATTTTAGGGGTCTGAACATTTTTAAATCAAGTATACACAATAACCAAGCTACAAAGAAAATTCACACACCAGATGCTCCTCTATACCTCTGGAAAGCAAATCTAGCTTCATGGGAAGTCTAATGTTTTTCCTGCTTTTTAAAAGAAAAATAACCTTTACAAGGAAGTGCTATGCAAGAATTGAGTTCTTTATCTTCCAAAGGGAGACTATTCTTTCAAAATACTTGAGAACATTACTTACAGGTAGATGAGTTAGAAACCATGCAACTCAGTATCTCGAAGACCTATAAACCAAACCTAATTTATTTCACAATGTTGCCCATTTGGGTATACCTGTGATCCACAGTTTCTTGGTATTTAACATTAACATTAGCAAGAAGTTAACCTGTGCCAAGAAAAAAATGTTAACACATTGCTTTTGAGGGCATTGTTTTAATAAGACAGTTATTCCTCCTGGAATTTGTTAGCTAATGAGGCCTGATAGAAAAAACTCACTTTTGGATGACTTCATAATTAACACGTCTTAGTAAATGTGGAGGTCAGAACTCTGCTCTAACAAGCTCCTTGGGGTGGTTGGTACATTTCAGATAACGTATCACTGAACATCACCAAGCCACCTGTGCCTGCAAAATACCCAGGGAAAGAATTGCCAAGGGAGAGAAAGTGGAATCCCTGGTGGCCAGCTGAGGCACAGTCCTAACAGGGCATCTAAGAGTAATTCATCTAAGTATCCCATCAGCAGTTTCTGTTTCTGGCACTAGCATTTCCTACCTTTTCTTTCAGGTGCCAACCTAGCCTGCGGTTAGACCTCATATCCCCTGGTGTTTCAAGACAGATGTTTGGTCTGGTGAAATGCTGGTCAACATGTCTTGCATGAGACCAAGCTGACAGCTTGGCTTTAGATTCACACTTTCAGCAAGGGCTCAATATTTCTAAACTACAACAAACGTAACTGATTAACTCAAGACAGATTAGCCTATGCGTTAAAAGAAAAAAAAAATACCCCAAAGGTCCAAATTGGTATCTTCTTTACAAAATTGCAAGAGTCAAAATAAAGAAGCCCAGTTAGTTACAGAGGAGCAGAGAAATCCATCTTACCAACTGTTTCACTTTAACCACATGCTGAGCACCCACTGACTGCGTAACAACAGAGTTGGGCTGTGAGATTTTAATACCAATTGGGGTTCCAATGACTGGTTTCCGAGGCTGGAGAGGGGTGGTTGATGAGGAGGCCACTGTAGAAACCAGCACTGGCTTTGCAGACTGGAGAGAGGATGTTGGTACCGCAGAGGTGAAGACTGGCTTGACAGGTTGGACAGCAGTCAGCCCTGACGTTGTTATCGTTGTGGTGAGGACTGAAGCTGAAGGCTGAAGAGATGCTGTCACCACTGCAGAGGAAGGAACAGGCTTCACAGTCTGCAGAGAAGGTGTTTCTGACGTGCTGGCAAGGAGTGGCTTTACAACTAGAGGGGCTGTGACTGTTACAGAGGCAGACACGGGTTTTATAACTGGTAGAGCAGTTGTTGCTACAGCTGAGGTTGCCACTCTTGTCGAAGGAGCTGGTACTGCAGAGGTACAGGTCGAAACCACTTCTTGGGTGGTAGCTGGCTGCTGCATACACTGCTGGATAAAGCTCTGAGGATTAGGCATTAGCTGCCGTAAGGCAAGCATGCTTTTCTAAAAGAAATATGAAAAAACACTAGATGTATTATCAACAGAGTATTCCACAACAGTAATACATTTGTAACTGAATCCTATTCCTCATTTTTTAACTAAATTTTTCATGAGGTAATAAATTACTTATTCCAAACAAGTTTTGCTGAAATTTGGGTATCCTTAAATTGATGACAATACTGTTCAGTGAAGACTACAAGAAACATGAACAGAGGCTGAGCTAAGGTCAACAGTCACCACAGCTTCACTACACGTAGCAAATCCCATCTATGGGGAAACGTTCTTTTGTTTAGATTTTTCAATTTGGACTTTATATTTCAGAGATTTTAGCTGCTTTATTACCTCAAAAAATTTTGTTTTGCCAAAAAATCCTGTTATACTGGAACAGCTGTGTTTATTTCATGAAGCCTGTCTGACAAGGAACTACAAATTATCCAATAATTCCCATATCTGAAGACATGAGAACTACTCTACCAATACAGCTATCTCTACACTAGGGGGAGATACCACTTTAATAATGTCTATAGAGCTGCACCAACATAACTTCAGCCAGTTACTTCTCTAAAGCAGGAGAACAAAAGTAAAGGAATCTGGCAACATCTCATTTTTACTACAGCTGTGTTTGAAAAGGTTAATAGACAGAATAATCTTCAAGCTCTCTACAGATTTTTCTTCTTGACTGTGTATAATCTGCTACAGCTCTGAAGCAGGGGAAATCAGTTCAGCAGCCACCTATATATTCTTGAAAACCCCTTTTTTCCTCCTCATCTGACAGTTTTTAAAGTTTGTAAGAGTTTCGAGCACAGTGCTGCTGATTTGGACTTCATACAAAAGGAACATGTCTTACATGCTAGTATACCAAGTGAGCACATTGTCTGCTCATCTGGACCTTTTGTAGCACACCTGTCTTCTAACATTCACTTCCTTTTCTTTTAAAAGGATGCTCAGCCCCTGGTGCAATTTATATACCAAAAGCATCCAGTAGACTTGAAAATCAAGCAAGCTTCACAGCCAGTCACTGTATTTTTGTGCCTCTTGGAACAGTCAAAACAAACATGCACAACTTCATCAAAAACCTGCAGCTCAAAGATAAGAGACGACTCCAGAGAGTCTTCCCTAAAATTCCACTTCACTAGATAAAAGTGAATTGGCAACAAGCGCTATCACATTTCTTTCCAGACTCAAGGTGCAAATATTTCCCTGACAAACAAGGCCGGTGCTGATCCTTGCAGCACCTTCGAGAAGTGCTCCTGAAATCATCTTCAATTTGGCACTCAGTTCTGTCACAGCTGCTCAGAGCTGCAGATCAACCTAATTAATTGTATGTATTAACTACACATCCTTATAGTGTTTCAGAAAAAAGCAATCAGGGTGCAAGATGTTTTAAAGGATTGGCAACACTGCAAAGTCAGCTAACTCTGATGATGTCTGAACGACATTTTTGAAGTCACAGTATTTCTTTATTAATGCAGCATGCAACAGGGAGAGAGCAGCATGTCAAGGATTATGTGGTATGGATACTGCCCAAAACCAGAAATGCCTAGATGATACCAATAGCTGGCAGTATACTGCAGGAGAAACACGCAGTGGCTCTGCTGCGATGGGTCTGACCCACGATGAACCCAACTTAACCCCTGCAGAACTACCCTGAGGTCTGTGCACCAAGGGTAACAGTCATGGCAAACTTGCTAGCAAGGCATTTAAAAGTTACCGCTGCAACAAAAATTTTTATCCCCCACTTGAACAGATTAACACCAGCCATCTAAAGTAATACCAGCATTATCACATGCATTGTTATGTGGCCTGTCAAAAACCAAGGAAAAGGACAAACTACAGAAAACCTCTGTCCCAGCTTTACCACTCAACTATTCTTCCTTTATTCTCCATTATGCCTATAATGAATGTCAAGGAAAAGTATAGATCTATCAAGGCTAAGAATATGCTGTACGTTGCAATTAAGTAAATTTAAACAAATTTTCCATGTTTTCACTGCAATTTAATGCCTGCTGTACAACAAAGATGTTAATTTTTATTTGTTAATACCATTCTACCATATGATTAGAAGTCTTAAGGGAGAATTTTTTAATTTATGTGACTATTTGCTTGAATGGAGGTAGAGTTCCTGGGATTCTTTTCTGCAGTAGTCCTGTCAGATCCTTTCTGGAGAAAGGGGTAGGGGTTTTTGTTCTGCCTCTAGTTAAACACAAACCAGCAGACAGATGAATAGCTTTGTGTAGATTCTTTGAGCTTAAACACTGCATAAGCTATGCATTGCCACTGTTGTCAGTCTTCTGTATTAGAATTCAGAACAGCTACAGTTTTGATGAGAAAGCAAGAGGTTATCTTAGCATAGCTGCTCTACTGTAGATGCTTTCAAAACACTAGTCTCCACTAACATCTAGAGGGTAATTACTCTACAATATAAGAACGCAGCATAAATTACTCCTCAAAAATTCTCCTTCCCCTCAAAAATTGTCTTTCCAAGTGCAACGGTCACATAGAGCAAGGTTAAGGACCATCTCTTCAACTGACCTGAGCAAATATCTATTTGAATGCCCCAACTCTTTCCTTTTCTTTTCTGATCCTCCTCCCTTCCCCAATGAAATACTACATGGCCATAATCAGATGCTTACCTTGAGAAAAGGAACTAAATATGGTTGTGGAGATGACTTGAGCTCTATATATAGCTTTTTCGTAAATTCTTCTGGTTCAATTTTTGCTTCCTAAGAGGGAAGTATAATTACAATAGTAAGTTATAACTAAATCTACCAGACTTTTTCTGAGATCTACCAAAAAAGTAATGGAAATTTATATTGTCATGGTATTGTACTCAAATACTTTCTTCTTGTATTTCTATTTTGCTACATTTAAACAAAAGGGGGAGGAGTAGAATGGAATAATGTTGTAATTTTGGTATAGTAATATCCAAATTGTTTACTGCTTTATTCAGCTACAGGCAGTTAACACACTTATGGATAGGTATTCTCATCCAGTTACTAAAGTGAAGGGATAGAAAAAACTATAAGTAGCACTTGATCCTTTTCAGTATCTCGTTATGCAGAGATATTTTAAATCAACTACTAGTACTTCTTTCACTAAAGGTAGTTTATCTGCATAAAGATCAACTTAAAGATAGCCAAGACTAAAGACAACTTAGTTTTTGTAAGACAATTCTAGTCGACGCATACATAGCATAATAAAACAGAACACTTAGAATCTTTCAAAAGCAATCAAAACATCTCTTCTGCATACCCCTAAGGTAACAGTTCTCTCAATTGCAGAGTACTGTTCCCTTAAAGCTTTTCACTGTGTCAACACAAACACCTGACTCAAGGGCTTGGGAGAGTTAGGAAGCTGCAGCAGACTTCTGAGACCCCTCACTCCCTACTTCAGTGCCACCACAAAGGGGTTAAGGTAGCCCCAGACCCTGCTGCCTTTCTCACACCCCCAGGTAAGTCCCTGCTACAAAGTCATCTAGAACATTACCTCCTCCAAGAAGGTACAGACACATAAAGAGCAACACCAACATCTGTTTCTGCAGGGAAATTACTCCTCTCACTCATATTCTCCTTTGGAGCAACTGTTCTAAGTTGCTACATAACCAGAGCAGGGACTTTAAATGCTGTGCATTCACAGACAAACAGAACTTACAGCAGCTCTCTCATTTAGTCATTTGATCTGTTGCCTGTTAGATCTCACAGAGATGTGGATATGGATCACTGAGGTCTCAGTGATACAGACCCAAGTGTTTGATACACTACGTCTCAGTGCACACAGTGCTTGACACCCATTTCATGAAACGCTGCCTTAAGGACCATTTTATTTCACAGCCACCATTTACTCACTCCTACATACATTATATTGATTTATTTTGTACATACTGAATGGTAGATTTTCAAATACTATAAAAACCAAACAGGTGCACAGCTAACAATGTATTAGTCTCTGGTGACAACTGCTTTCAAGAGAAAAAAAAAAAGAAAAAGAAAAAAAAAAGAGGTGTATATCCAGCAGGGACAGAGAGGCAGAGGAATTAAATTTTTGCAAGGCTGCACCTTCAAACAGTCTGCTCTCTGAAATTACTCCTCTCTACACCACACTCTTCTAGACTGAAAAGTCCTTTAGTACCACTAGCGAAGCCATCCTCCTCTACCAGCACACAGCCTTCTGCTATGGTGGAACAACAAAGCAGCAGCAGTGGTCAAATGCCATGACAAGAAGTGGCAGGAGAAAACGTTACCAAGAAAGCCCAGCTGTGCTGGGGTGCAGCCCCAAGCAGCACATAGAAGCCACATGCAAGGAAAGAGTGGCTGGCAGACACCACATTGTTTTCTCCATCCCACTGTTTAAAGACATTGATAATGTCATGCTTGTTCCACTGGAGCTTTACTATCAATTTGTAAGTCAGTTCTGTCTTGCAGTAAAGCAGTAGTATGGACTCAGCACTGAACTACAACCTACACAGTGATATTTTTTGCTACTGAGAACTCAAAACAACACTAACATGAAAAAAATGCAGTTCAGATGCAGAAGCTGTGCTAACACTTCCTGCTGTCAGATACCTGTATAAAATGAAACAAATGTGAGGGGGAAAATAACACAGCATGGGATTCAGTCAGAGTTATCACATAAGACTTAGAGAGGGGTCAGAGGTACTCAGTCACAAATCCATCTCTTTAGCTGTTTAAAAAAAAAAACAGACAAGGAACAAAACTGTGACAAAGCAAATGTCAAAATCCATATGCAAATGATGCAGACTTTGTTTTTTAAAAAAGTCTCACCAATAGATTTTGCACCAGATTCTTCACATTCTGCCCCATCTCAGGGGCTTGAGGTCCACTAGATGCCAATTTTATTAGCGTAGCAAGAAAATTCTTGCATTTCTTCACATTCTCCAGCATCTCCTAGTGTGGAAATAAAGAGAAGACTGTTAGATGCTGTACTGTCTCTCCAACCTCTGATGAACATACAGAATGTTAATTTTTAATTAAAAACATTTTTTTTCCTTACTGTAGAAGCGCTGGTCTGTGCTACTGTTGTGCCCTCTGCTTTCACAGAGACTGCCTTCTGGGAGATAGCTTGTGCAGGTGGTCCTGTAACTGGAAGTTTTACAGGTGTTCCAGTACTCGAAGGCTTTACAGCAGTAACTGTAGCAACATTAGGTGTTGCAGCTGTTGGCTGAAGAGAAAAATTAACACTTTTTAACCAAAGAAAAACGTGACAAACATACTGGATTCGGCTAGCATGTAAGGTAGCAACCTCCCTCCACACTACCATTTAAGATATAAATAAACGATTTTCTCTTTGTTTTTAGAGTTTAGATTCATTTGCTTGGACGGGCTCTATTAAATACAGTAAGTGACAGAACCCTCACAGCCATAATTCTGTTTATAAATCAAAGGCGAGGAGAAGAAATTACAAAGGCGTGTCCAGACTGAAAGCACTGCCTGCAACTCTGAAAGAAGAGAGAAAGGTACAGTTGTCTTTAAGAAAGCAATATATTAACTTTGCCAGGCTTCTGCTGTCTAAGACTAGTGAATCCTGGACAATGCTAAGCCAGGTGGTACTATTCCAAAGACAAACACAATGTTAAGTGATTATTTATCTTCCATTCTTGCCGTGAAGCTCCTCTCCCAATTGTGACATCCTTTGCTCTTCCTATCACACACAGACTAGGGAGAAGACATCATGTCTGTCCACTTTGGAAGGATGCAGGCGCCAGTAGAAGCAGCCAGTTCAGCAAATGGACCTAACAAGTTCTTCCCATCTTTTCCTTGTGGGCAGCAATTTGGATCTCTTTCTCCTCTGCCCTTACAGAAACTCACACAAAATTCAGTTATTTTGAGACCTCTTTTTAAAATCTCATTACAATTTAGCAACAGACTCAGAAGCTCCAGCAACAGGAGAGTAATTAAGGTTTAGAAAAAAATACCTCCCTCCTTTGCAAACCAGGCAAAATCATAGTTTCCAAATGAAAATCTACTAAACTGAAGTATTTCTACTTCAGATTTTAAAGAAAAGAAACAGACTATACTGAAAAATCCCACCACAGTTCATTTGATAAAACAGAATACAATACAAATAAAAGACTTTGCCTCTATAAAAACCACTACTTTTGATTTCTCAACTTAAAAACTGAAAAGCCAGAGTGAACATGCAGGTCATAGAAGAGCAAGAGTACCAGGTAAACATTTGAAACCTAAACTTCGGTGTAATTTTTCCTCCAAGCATCTCAAGAGGAAGGGAAAGTCTGGTTTTGTAGCCCATATTTTAGGTTCAGGTCTGCACAATACAGTTGCTTTCACTAACTCTTAACACATTTAAACACTCCAGTCCAACAATCGCAATTAATACTTATTAATTGCATTAATTATAATACAGTAAGACAGGAGTCTAATTTACCCTACCATGGATAAAACAAAACTAATCAAGAGTTAGACAGACTTCATGTAGATTATCAAAGGACTTTTAAGTCTTTCAAGGATAGGGAAAATTTACGAACAAACACTTAAAGCTAAAGCAAAACACTGGCACTTTTTCACATATTTATAATTTTCTTTTCATGAGTGGGTGTCCTCCCCTCTTCCTAAAGTTGCTGCCAGTTTGACATGAAAGCAGCAGGCAGCTACCAAAAAGCTTTCCAGCTTAGGCTCCCACTGTTGGTAACACTTTAATAGCTCTCTGCAGGATCTTTGCCACCACCACTGCCTCTTCCAAGGATGAGGCTCAACAGCTCTAAGACCACAGGGAGGCAAACTGGGCACAAGAATCCCACAAACAGATGGGCAGAAGGAGGATGGATGGGGACATAGTGCTTATCTGCCAAGTTGCAATGCCCTGGGCTTTTAAAAGTTGAAAACAGGAGCTGATCTCTTGCAAATTCCAGCGTGCTTACACATCAAGACCAGAACAGCATTTTATCAGCTGAGGGAGAGAACAACAGGAAGTCTGCTGGACCCTTTTCCCAGGAAAACGAATATGTGGGAATTAACTTCTGTCATCTGCTGTCAACCTTTTTCACTACTGACAATTCTCATTCTCACTTTGAACAACACAGAAACAGTCGCCACAAAAAATGGCATCAATCCTGCATATTTTGAAGTCATTTCAAGAGAAGAAGTGCTCTGCATCTAAATGAAAGTGCCCCAGCATGATGCTAATTAGACACTTTGCAGCTTTGTTACCCCATCTGGAAAACAGTTAAAAAATAAAAATGTGCAGGTATTTTGTCTAACCTCAGAACTCAAACATCTAGGAATGTCAAAAATGGAAATATTTTTGTAGATGAAGAGAATAATCTTGGAGTCAGTAATTAGAGAGTCTTGCAGATAGTAGTGTTCCAAGTTGTATTTCGCACAAGATAGGAGATACACAACCAAACCCCCAATTATTTCCTCTCCACTGTCTCCCACTTTCTGTGATGACATCATACTTCCACACCAACACTCCTCTCCCGTGACCTCAAAAAGCTGTCAAGACTAAGATCAGCAAGGTCTTTCAAGGCTGATAAATGAATTGCTGCCAAGGAAATCAGACCCAAAGGCTCTGCCTTCCTTTCCCCAAATGATTCCATCAACTTTATGCACAGACTCCCTTGTCAGCACTCTTCTCTTGCCCACTCCAGGGTGAGGAGCACAGTGACCATGTGATGGCAGGATGTATCCATCTTGCATCTCTTTAGTCTTCACTGTACAAGGAACTTGTACAGAGGGCTTTGTAATCCTCTGCAAAACAGAACGGTTCCAAGGAAGCCGCTCCAAACAAAACAGTGCTATTAATTTTTCCTAGAGTCATCATTCTTGCTGTTTAAATCCAGCCCTACAGCTGAACAAGTGTTCAAGTTTCTACAACAAGAAAAAAAGAAAAAGCTTACAAAAAATACTCCATACCTATGTCTCTAAATATCTCAGAAGAACTCAAGTCGATTACATCAAAACTGAGCTAAAAGAACCAAGCCAAAGGTAGACGTAAGTTAAAAAAGGAAAAGTTAATAGCATGATGAATCTCAATGTTTATCCACATGAGAGTGTGAGGATGGAGGCAACTTCATCCATCAGATGATGGATGACCTTCATTTCTTCTCCCCAGCGCAAGGGTAGTTAGTATAGTAGATAACTATTGTTTTTATATCCTAAAGATCTCTACACAGAGGTCACAAACACATGGTTTACGAGCTAGCATTCCGAAATAAATGTAAGGAATATTCATTACTGTTCTTAGACAAAAAGCATATGTTGTTTCCATTCTCAGCAAAATAGAAAATGTATTAAGAGTGGCCTCTGGGTTTTCCACTTTAGCCCCAACATTATCCATCTGTAGTGAGAGGGAAGCAGAAAAAGATCACAGACAGAGTGGGTGAGTAGTTTTCAATTGCTGATACAGAAGAACAGCAGGAGGACAAACTTGTAAGGGAGACTGTTAGTTACCACTAACAGTGAACATATCCCCCAATTCTTCAAACATCCTCATAGTCAAGAACATATATCCAGCATGCTTTTTCAATGACTGATCCTGCTCTTTTACTGAGTGTTTGGTCAACTGCTACAGCCCAGTCTCCTTCAAACTCTTGTTCACAAAATATATGCACAAGCCAGACTTCATGATTTCTCCTCCAGACTACGAGGAGAATAGAACATGTTATTCACAGAAAAAAAGAAGCTTTCTTTTCACCAAAGCTTATCCAGAAGTCTGTGGTCCCCAAAAACAGATGAACCATATCTACAAAAATTCTTATACTCTACAGGTCGTAAGAGTCTCTTCAGAAGAGTCCTACAACATTTTTCTCTGGAAAAGGCAAAATAAGACTTAGGAAATTAGAAAAAAACACTACCTAAAAATAATGAGGCATTTCCAACCACTGTCTATAGTTGTACCTGTGGAACCCATCTGCCATACTCAAAGAATAGGTCTTGACTACGACTTTCCTTCACTTTGTAATGAGGGAAAAAATCATGCACATGAAAACCAGTTTGACAGGCACAGACAGCTCATTTTCCCCTCAACATCATCTAAGGTAAGTTATACCTTTTCCCCCACCTAAGGAATCAGGGAATCCCAACAGTAAAACATTAGGAAGTCTCATCTCCCAGAAAAGATTCAGCAAGTGATCGAAGGAGCTCTGTCACAGAGGGCCAAAGCACTGGAAATGGCTCTCTGAACTATTTATTTTATTCATTGTTCATTTATTCATTGCTTTCTACTGTAGCACAGATAAGATTATCTGACACACATCGACAGAAGCCTAATCAAATTATGCATTTAAAAATATATTCAGGAAATAATTTATTGCGAGTACAAAGGTTACTAAGCTTACTAAAAAACAGATTATAGTTAGAAATAACAGGAATGCATCAATATTTTCTTTTTTTTCTGTCACTTATTCTTATTCTACCATACTATAAAGCCTGCAACCTACCCGTACTACAGCAGGTGGCTGAGCAGTAGAAACCACAGTATTTGTTGTTTGAGACAATGTTTTCACAGGAGAAGCTGCTACTTTTTTTACTAACTGGGTGCCAGAGTTCTTGAAAAAAATAAAAATAAAAAATAATTATACATGGGCAGAGAACAGTTGTCAGACAAGTCAATCACAAAACAGACACTGAAGTTGGGGTGGTCAGATACAAACCAAGACACATACTCTTAAAGTAACAATGCAGGCATCATTCACATAGTCCATATAGTTTAAATGCTGCTCAACAAAGCTATTTGTCTACCAGTTTAATATTCAATAACAGATCAGAGACATTTAAGAGACAACACGCAATCAGAATAAAATGGTTAAATAAATACGTAAATCGTTTCTTTTATGTATTTCCTTATTCTTGCGTGCTGATCACATTACAAGAGACAGAAGCAAAAAGCCAGCAGAGCTCAGGGAACGAGGAACAGGAAAGGTCCTCAGCTTCACAGATGGTTGGCATTTTTTTTCTTAAACTATTTACATCATCATCATCAGAGAGGAATTCATTAATTTGAGCTTTACCACATGTAACAGACAGCAGTTTTTCCAAACTGAGAAAGCAAAGCATATAGTGATGTTTGTGGGTGCAAAACCAAACACCATCACGCTGTTCAGAAAGCGTTCAAACACTTATTTAACCCTCCAGGACTTATTTGCAAACCCTGTTATAACCACATAACATACAGCTACGTCAAATTAAAGTTATGAGGGAAGTTACCTGTACAGCACATATTCTGATTGCAGGAGTGCTGGTTGGCACAGATGGTCTCACATTTGTGTTATTTTGTGACTGGTTCTGTGCTCGTGCTATTGCTTGTTGAGATACTAGCATTAGGTGGCCACTACTGCTTCTGATAAGAACAGTTCCTGTTGAAGAAAAACATTCAAACATTTAGAAATTAAGTTACGTTACGGCTTCCCTATATTTCTGTGGAAGAAATAACTAGACCACACTGATAATGTAATATTTAGTTTCTTACTCCAAGGAACAGCTGCCAAGAAATATAAGAACTAAGTGCACATCAGCTTTACTCTGCATCTTATGATAGAATTCCTAAATTCAAGAGAAAATTCAAGAGAAAGATTTAAGTACATGGCCACATTGAAGCACTACGTGCATACAAGATGTAAACTGCGAAGCAGTTCATCATTTGAGTCAAAAAGACATTTTGGATATTGAAAAGACAGACACACCCTCTACACACACTCTGGGATTACTTTGACAGTAATTTCAAGCAGCTCTTCAACCTGCAAAATTAATCACCACTATCACACTTGGCTGCCTCTTGTTTCTGAACATTTAGGCACATAGTTAGACGTGAATATACGGTTTAGAGAAAACTGCAATGGGGACTGAAGCCTGATTAGTACCAGTTCACCTACCTGTATGAAGACCACTCCCCTCAGTCAGAGGGCAGTGGTCTCACATGAAAGCCAAGGCCATCAGATATTTGAAGCTGTCCCTCTGTCAACAGTCTGTCCAAAAGCATTAAAATGCATGGTTTTATCAATGCAGTTTACAAATTGGGAGATTCCAGTGGGAAAGAAAAAAAGTCTTACCTACTATGTTTCTCCTACCCCATCAGCAGTAACAACAAACCATTAAACAGCAATGCGTATTTGTATTAAAACTTAATGAAAATCACCTTAAGGGGAATCAGTATCAGTCACAAGCCATACAGAGTCCCATATTCCCTGCATTTGGAAACCATTCAGCTCCAAAACAATGTCTCCTTCTCCTTCCCAGGCCCCTCAGGGCTCAGCTCTGGAAAATTCAGAGGTTTCATCACAGTCACAAATACAAAATGCCATTTGGATACCTGGTCTAAACAGCTTCAGATCCTTCAAGGGAGCTGTAGAGACCCCTACCTTTGCTGGTGTTTCACCTCCAACAGCAGCTGCACCTCCAACAGCGGCTCCAGCAAAGTCCACCACTGAAAACCCGTCATCTCAAACACCCTCACTTAACAAAGGCCTTTTGAATAAAAGAACAGGGGAAGGTATGGGAGAATGCCAGACATGCAAATAAGAGCACCTTAACATTTTTTGAATGCATTAAACTTTCTTGCAAGTTATCCAATATCTGAAAAACCCCAGATCTATGAACACTTATGATCTTTCTTAGTGTAAAACAAGATCTCATCAATGAAACAGTCTTTTTACCTGGCTAGTCTGAAAGCTGTCAAAATACTGCCATACAATACAGCCTAAAACACTGCTTCTGTCTAAGTGAGTTTAACAGAAAAAGGCACAAGCTCCACGACTTGAGTTTTGTTGGTTTGGGTTTTTTTTTTTAAAAAACAAAGATCAAGCTACTAACCACATGCTTAGTAACAGGTTTTCATCCCCCACATTTAAAAGCATAAGAGAATATTGCAAGGCAACACAAAACTTGGTATAAAATTCTTAACATCAACATATTTCCATTCACATAGCACACATTAAGAACTGCAAGAGAAGCATCTAGACGATTCCGTCCTTTCTCAAGCAGCCTTTACTAGATGGGGCAGCTGCACAACACAGTTGCATATTCAGAAAAATACTGTTACTCTGTCTGACAACTCAGCTTTCTCCTCCTCCACTGAAGACTATAATTACATTTAGGTACAGATGGATAATTTAATTTAATCAATGAATACCTGGAATTACAAAAAACATATTAGATTTCTTATTTTATTTTCATACCATCTTATTTAGACAGTGATTGTCGCAATTTGCTTATACCTTTACACAACTTAAAAATGCCCCCAATGTTTTGATACTCCCATCCTGCCTAGAAACAAAAGCAACAACCCAATACTGCAGTCAATAGCACAGACACCAAGAGGAGACATAGGAGATACCTTCTGCCAGAAGAAAAGGTTCCATGGCACTCAAAACCAACACCCAAAGGCTCATACACTACATACAGCTACTCAAGTGTGAAATGGGGGAACAGTAGGTGACGGTAACCTTGAGATTCACAATACAAAGGTCACACAGACTCGTGCAAGCTTCCAAGATGCTACTATCAGAAATGAAGGTAAGTGCAAGAATCCACATTCTTCACTCAGTGGGGGGGAAAGATAGTATTTCTTATCAAGAGCTGTTTTCACATTCACTAGAAGGCAAATGTTAACAAACAGTGCGAAAACAGTTCAGTTCTTGCAGTCACTGCAACTCCACAGTAAAATGGGCAGGGTGGGGGAGGAATGGGACAACACACAACAACCAACCTCTGAACGGCTGAAACATGACATTTCAGCTAACACCTCTCAGCAGGACATGTAAAACCAGAAAAGATATCTGCAATCTCCGAACAAAATATCAGCACCAGCAGTAGTAACTGAACAGCAATAAGGCATTCTCGTTACACTGCAGGTGCCCAGTTTTGGGCGGCACTTCCAAGAATGTTTGATAGTTTTACTGGAGTTGTGTCAGAGAAGAGGAAGGACTTCCTCAGCATTGAAGCATTTGGGTAGTAAGAGAAAGGCACAGTGCCTTTGGGGCTACAAATCTGTTCCTATTTTCAAAGTCAAGTGACCAGTTACCGTCAGGGATTATTTCTCACATGCTTTGGCCGGAGGACTCAGGTGTCTCTTGCAGATTAACAAAGAGTCCTATTTACAACAAATTGAGACTTTTGTCCCCTTATATTCTGCCTGTCTTGTTAATAATTTTCCTTTGGAAAGTTATTTGTTTTTCCTGGTTGACAGAGAAGGCAGTTAAAATAGAATCATCTATTTCAACCGTTTGTTTCCTGCACACCTTCCTTCAGCTGCAATCCTGTGACAAGGCTGGAGTGGAAGGACCTGACAACCAAAACTCAGCTCAGTTTCCTACACAGAAGGAGCCATGATATACCTTCTTACCTTGAAGAGGTCTCATTGAGATCCACACCTTTTCTGCTCAGTGATCTGCCTTCTCCTGAAAGAGGGGCTGCAGGAACCCTGCCTCTAGGAGTGCCTGGCATCACTCCTGCAAAGCTCAGCCAGCCACCACCCAGAACAGACATGCCAGCATTGTGAGAAAATGGAAAATCACAGGCATCCTAACAAAATTCCATTTGTTGCTCAAACCTGAGATACCTCAGCTTTAAACTGTCCCAACAGCACCAGTCAAGGAAATACAGCCTTTTCTGAACTTGGTTTAGCATCCAACCCAGAAACCAAGAAACACAGGTTAGAAGGAGGAGCAGCTTCCAGATACCTCTGCATTGTAACAAGAGAGCAGTAAAAATTCACCAGAGGCGTGAACAAGGTGCTACGGGATAGTGACAGAGATCTGTTTATGCCACTGTAGGTAATGCCACCTGCATGGGCTTCACTGTATTTCAGGGAATAAGTGTTAAGGAAACCACAATGTTGTTAACACAAAGCTGTGCTGCCAGCTGAAGCTCAGGCCTTCATCCAGCAGCACTGAACACCGATGTTTGCTAAAAGCATTCCACCATAAGGGCAACTTCCACCACATAAGGCAATCCCGAGGCCATTTCTGAAGGGGAACTTCATCCAGAAGAAATTTCCTGAGATGAACCATCCAGCATTTGTGCTCCAGCGGAGATACACCTTATGCTGTTACACATGAAACTGAAGTTTCAAGTTAAGCCACCACTTTGATTACGTGGTTTCTAATGCAACTGCTCAACACAACAGCTCTTGGGAACTGCTGGCTGGGGAACAACACGAGGAAATGAAAAGAAGTCTCTTGCTCCTAAAATAAAATACAAGTAAGAACTAACCACAATTAGACCAAACTCATTTGAGAAAACACAAGTTACAAAAGCTGCTTTCAAAGAAGGGTAAATTTAGCTTATTTCAAAACAAGGAGTGCCTGCATCAGGTATGTTGCCAACCTTAGTAAAGTACATTTTACCATCAATTATAAAAACAAGACTAAATGAGACTTTCAGGTCCCAAATCAGTAAGTGAACAACAAAAATGTTTTAAAACAACAGGAATGTGTCAGTGCTCTCTGTTCCTAAACAAATCCCATTGTTTCACTGAGCTACTCAAAACAAAGGGATAGCTTTTAAGGCAGTTATTACAAGGTAAGACCAAGCATAAAAAGGGGATGTTTTAGCAGGATACTAAATGGCAACAAAAAAGGAATATTAGTTTTAAGTTTCTTAGACTGACTAGGATTACTCAAAATTTGGAAAATAAAAGGCCATACACTACTAACCTACGCAACAGCTTTGAAAATACTTTTTCTCTCTAAAGCCATCCTTTAGAAAAAATGCAGGTTTTTTCCTCTTCAACTCCATTTGAGCCCCACAGAGCAGGTCACTTAAAGGTTATAAAAACATACTATGGGACTAAGACCAAACCCAGACATTATTAGAGACATAGACTGTTCTGGCAGGGATTGTATCAAGGTGCATTATGTTGCAGACTAGCTGTAAAAGACTGCTGAAGAAGCAGGAACAATTAATGAAATACTGTGAAAGATGGTGACAACTTTTACATAACCTATGACTTACACAACCCTTCTAATATGTTGGGACTGTAATGTTTTCAGATGGTCTGTACTGCATGCAGGAGAACTACTTATTCCCCATGTACTTGAATTTTCCTAGACATCACTGCAAATGTCTGTAGTAGAGATGAAGAAACAAAGACAACAGCCCAATCTAGAGGCAACATGTAGCTGTGCTTTTCACTGTTTTAGGAATGAAGCTACAACAAAGATCTAGCAGCCACACAAGGTTACCTCACCAAAGGCTTCCAATGATGAGCTCTAACTTCTATTCTCAAATACAACTGATTTCAGACAACAGGTCTTCTGTGAAGTCACAAAGATTACCTGTTTGAGGCTTTTCTTGGAATAACATCTGTGATTGCTTTTAGATTTCCTAAATAAACACAGCAGAGGGCTCATCTATACCG